TGAGGTCTTTATCAGAGAAATTTGCTGTAAATTTTTTTTCACAGTTAAGATTACTGTGTATTTCCTTATATCCTATTTTTATCCCTGTTTATCTAATTCTCTCTCTCTCTTTCTCTCTCTCTCCTTTCACCCCGTCCATTCTCAAAAGTATTTTGCTCCTACCATCATACCCTATCCTTCCTCCCTCACTTCTATTATCACTCTCCCCTTTCTTGTCCCCTTCCCCTCCTATTTCCCTGTAAGATAAGATATATTTCTGTACCTAACTTTCTGTGTATCTTATTCCCTCTTTGAGCCAATTCTGATGAGAGTAAGGTTCAAGTGCTCCCTTCCATCTCCCCCATTTTCTCTTCCATTATAAAAGATCTTTATTGCCTCTTTTATGTGCAATAATCTATCCCATTCTGATGTGGTCTAGGGGTGCTAGGAACCCTGAAATGCAAAGGTACAGGGTGGGAGTCTGCCTTGAAAGAATTTGACCACTTAAGCCTTCTTTCAGTCCAAGACAATGTTTATTGTGTCACCTTATTATTCAGTCCAAGACAATGTTTATTGTGTTGCCTATAGAATCAATGGGATTCTAAGAATCTATGCATTTCATGAGGACTGGTACTTTTATACAGAAAAAGACTGTGAGAAAATCTGGGTGGGATCAAGGAATGGCAAATAGCCTAAGGTGCTAATAGCCTAAGGTGAACAGAGAAAAGGGCTGGGATGGGATTAAGTAGTGTCAAGTAAACTATTTAAGTAATCCAGGTGGACTGGGATGGGCCAGATGCCTCAGGCTAACACCAGGGATCTGAGATGCTGAAATTTGTGGGAAAGTTCAGGGCCTTTTCCTTTTTGGGGTCCAGATCCCAAAGACATAGTCTTTTCCTGTTCAGGTCCCATCCCCAGCAATTCTACCTCTCCCCTTCCCCTTTTCTCTCAGTTCATTTCTCTTTCTCCTTAATTTTTTTTTTTGATGTGAGTTGAATATGATGGGATGATATCTTTAAAAAAAACCCCAAAAAGCCAGCCTCAGACACTTACTAGCTGTGTGATCCTGGACAAGTCACTTCACCCTGTTTGCCTCAGTTTCCTCATCTGTAAAATGAGTTGGAGAAGGAAATGGCAAACTGCTGCAGTCTCTTTGCCAAGAAAGCCCAAAGGGGTTATGGACAGTTGGATATGGCTGAAATGGCTGAACAGAAACAACATATGTGTAATTGCCCTTGGCCATGCCCATGGGATAAAGAAACTTGGAGCAGGGGATTGACCTGCAGGACAGATGCCCAAGGCTTAGAGTTTTCCTTAACTTTTATTTTGAAAGAATTTGTGGGGAGTGGAAGAAGGAAGCCACAGGAGGGAGGAAGAGATGAAGGAGACCATTCAGCCTTCTAGTCCCAGAGGTATAGGTCCCAGGAAGCCAGCATGGCCAAAGGCACCCAGTTCTAGAATACTTAGGCTCAGCGAGCAGGTCTCAGAATGGTGAAAAGTATGTAGTGCCTTGGGCCAGTACTTGGAGAAGGGTGGAGCTCTGGTCATTTTCCTGCAGTCCCTTGCTTTCTAGATACCGGGCTTCATTTCCTTCAAGCCCTGGTTCTGGCTCTCTGGTGCCCTCTAATGGTTATTCTTCTCCCTCCCCACTTCATTTTTCTGGGGTTACCCAATGCTCAATTTTCGTGTGTAAGTTTTACCACCACTATGAGGAAAGGGTATGCAGATATGCCCAGTGGAACACAACTCGGGATAGGTCTAGCTCTGGTAAAGACAATAGCCTCTGTGTGTGTTATCACTTCAGAGGCTTATCGCTAAAAGTCTGGCCACCAGATGATAAATGTTTGGGCTTCAGAAGCTTGTTCAAGAAATAGAAAATAAAACCTTGGGTCCAGATCTCTACCTGAGTGAGAACTTGGGTTTTATTTATCTTCCCCTCTACCTTTGGTCTCTGTAAAAAGCGTGCCTTTCTCTTAGATCAGGGGTTCCCAAGCTCCCCATTGGCTGGTGAACTTCTTGAGGGCAGACACTCTCTTCTGCCTCTTTTTGTATCCCCAGCACTTAGCACAGTGCCTGACACATAGTAGGTGCTTAATTAAAGATGTATTGATTGCTATTTCAGTTGAGGAGGATGAATGCCCCCCCCAGAATATCCGCTGTTACCTAGGCAATATGAGTCATTGTTCTGATCCAATATGGCCTTTCTTATCTTCTGTGCCTTTGGGTGAGGGAATTCAAAGAAGTTTAGAGCTGGAAGAGTTCTCATGGGGCAGCTAGGTGGTGCAGTGGGTAGAGCACCAGCAGTGGAGTCAGGAGGACCTGAGTTCAGATCCAGCCTCAGACACATAACACTCACTAGCTGTGTGACTCTGAACAAGTCACTTAACCCCAATCACCTCACCAAAGAACAAAATAAATAAATAAATAAATAAATAAATAGAAAATAGGCCTCAGAGGAATAAAGGAATGAGAACTGATTTTGGAAAGGAATGAAAGGTTACAGGTTAGCAAGTTTCTCATGGGTTAATCCTGGCCCTATGCAATAATTATGCAGAGGCAAGCTGTTCTTTCTTGACTCCCTCCTGGCTCTGGTCCTTCTGGGATCCAGGGACTTACCATCTTCCCTGCTGCTGCCTTCTCATATGTGTGTTGTCTATCTCAATTAGAGTGTGATCAGAGACCATTTTTCTTTTCCCGTTCATATCCCCAGTGCTTAACATTAGTTTTTGACTCATAATAAGGGCCTAATAAGGGGCAGCTAGGTGGCACAGTGGATTTTGTGCCAAGCCTGAGGTCAGGAAGACCTGAGTTCAAATCTAGCCTCAGGTACTTTCCAGCTGTCTGATCCTGAGCAAGTCACTTTACCCTGTTTGCCTCAGTTTCCTTAGCTGTAAAATAAGCCGGAGAAGGAAATGGCAAAGTACTTCAGTATCTTTGCCAAGAAAACCCCAAATGGGGTCATGAAGAGTCGGACACAACAGAAGAGCAACTAGACGAGAACAAAATGCCAATAACTGCTTTTTCATTCATTTGGCCAGGTCTTGGCCCTCATGTCAGATCCTTTCTCCCTCTTTTCTTTGTCTCTACTAGTGCTTAGCACACAGTAAGGACCCCAGAAATACTTATTGACTCAATGAGTGACTTTCGGAAATTAGTCTGGTAAGGTTAAAGGGAATCTGTCCTCTTAGCTCTCAATTAGGGAAATGGGAATGTCAGCCTAGGGAAGGCACTGTTATAAATCGCCTAATTCTGTCATTCCATAAAATAGCTCACAGACTCACTGACCGTGGCGGGGCACAGAGGAACTGTGGCTTCCTTACTTCTGTAAAGTAATGGCCGATCCCCATAGCTCTGGAGAGCTGATTGCTAAATTTTTAGTGTGAGCATTTACACCTTGGAAACCAGAAAAGGCTAAAAATTAGGGCTTGATTTATTGTTTTACTGATTGTCTTGACTTAAGAAAGTGATGGGAAAATGTTAATACTACAGATTAATTTGAAAGTGTGTTGGACATACTTTTTTTCTAGAAAGCTGATTGTTAAACATTTATAAGTAGACCCTTGCCTGTGAGCTATGCCCCTCTTACTGTGGCCTAAGATCACACTTTTCTCTTCATTCTGTTGGCTCTTAAAGCCTGAGGTTCTCTAAACCCCACAGATATTGTTCAGACAAACTGCCCACTTCTTTTTGTGGAATTGTGAAATTGATTTTTCTTTTTTTTCTTTTTTCTTTTTAGGCAATTGGGGTTAAGTGACTCGCCCAGAGTCACACAGCTAGTGTCCAGTGTTTGGTCTGAGGCTGGATTTGAACTTAGGTCTTCCTCACTTCAGGGCCAGTGCTCTATGCACTGCGCCACCTAGCTGCCCCGAAATTGATTTTTAAAATCCAAATGCAAGTCTTTATACTTAAACCTGTTAAATTTCATCTGAACAGATTCAGACCAATGTTCTAGTTTATCAAGCAAAGTCTTTTTGTATACTGACTGTCATCGTTGTGTTAGCTTTCCCTAGTGTCATTTGCAAATTCGGTTTTTAAAAACTACCACCTATGCCTTTGGGGGTGCCAGGTAGAAATTAATAGAATGCTGGGCCTGGCAGAAAATCCTGAGTTTAAATATGGCCTCAGACACCAGCTATGTGACCCTGGGCAAATCACTTAACCTTGTGTTGCCTCAGTTTCCTCAACTGTAAAATAGGGACAATAATGGCACCCACTCCCCATTATTGTAAGGATTAATAAATAATATTTATACCGTTCCTGACACAGACTTAGTTGCTATGTGAATGCTCATTGCTTCTCATTATCCAAGTTATTAATTCAAATGGATCTGAGTCAAGCACAGATCCTGGGACACTCCACTGAAGCCATTTCCCCAAATTCATCAAACCATTAACATTACTCTTTGGGTCTGGACATTCTACTCCATCCAAATCCATTTAATTGGACTACTGTCTAGCCAGGAGTATGTTGGTAAATGTTTAATAACCACATCTCTAAAAAAAAAGCAAATATAGTCATGACACACTTTTAAATTTAATCTGCCTTATTAACATTTTTGCCATTGTTTTCTTAAGTCTCAACCATCAGAATAGTAAGTCAAGCCCTGATCTGTAGCATTTGTTGCTTTCTGAGGTGTAAATGCTCACCCTGAAAATTTAACAACCAGCCTTTGTAAGCCTTTACAAGGTAGTTCCTGCACACTGCTGTGTCTAGCCCACATCTCTTCATCACTTTCATGGGAAATTGGCCATAAATGTTTGTGAAAATCTAGGTAAACGCTATCTATATCATTGTCCTGATGTATTTGTCTGCTAATCCTATCCGGAAAAATAAAGAAAGAAGGAAGGAAAGAAGAAAGAGGAAAGAGAAAGAAAAGACAGGAGGTTGGGTCTTTGTAGTCACTGTCTCTTCTTTTAGATATTCATTAACTATACCTTTAATGATCTGTTTAATGACTTTTCCAGGAATCAAAGTCAAGCTCATTGTTTTACGGCCTAATGTTTCCATTTCCTTCCCTTTTTGGATGAATATCTGCCCTTTTCCAGTCCTGGAGTTCATCTTCCATTAGTCATGATCTTTCAGAGACTGTTGATGGTGGTTTAACAGTCCTGTCTGTCAGTTTCCCAGTTCCAGGGGATGTGATTCATCTGGGCTAGGTGACTTGAATTCCCTCCTTTGCCTGTTGCCCCTGGATCTGGGGAGGTTCCTGTTCCTCCTCCTATTCTGGGTCTCAGATGACAGAAACTCCTCCCTCTCTGGCTCCCAAGTTATCTTCTGCTTGAGCTCCACACCTTCTCCATGATTGATTTTCTTGAAGCAAAGTCTTTTGGCTGGCCCTATCCTTGTTGGTGAAATTCTATTTTTTACCAACTACCCCAGACGGTTCTGCGACTTCCTTTAGCTCCCTCCTCATTGGCTGAGGTGAGTTGACAGCTATACCTTAGGGCCAAAAGATAGTGGAAAATTTTCCTTGCTCTCAGTTATTGGTTCCAACTACTTATTTATTTTTAAGGTATAAGAGAACTCAGAGGCCATGTAACCTAATCCCTTTCTTTTACAGATGAGGAAACAGAGGCCAAATGGCATGGTTAAGTGACTTGCTCAAGGTCTTACAAACATGTTGGAGGCAGGATGAGGACCCAAATCCTCTGACTCCAGCCCCAGTGCTCCTTCTCTCCAGGGGCTATAGTAGATAAAGAGTTAACATCAGAGTCAATAGTGGACTCTGGGAACTGGTAGATGGGGAGCTGACCTTGGCATCAGGAAACTTGGTTTCAAATCCTACCTATCCACATACCCTGGGCAAATCATCTACTCTTTCAAGGTCTCAGGCAGTTTTCTAAGACTTTAAATTGCAGACTAGTTGCTGATCTATACTGTTTATTGGAAGGTGTTTCCTCCCTTAGAAGTGCCTTACACTAATGAAATCGTAGGCCTTGACTAGAAAGTAATGAATCTTGTTTGAGTCAGTCCTTGAGCCATCCTGGCAGGGGCCTGGATCCCACAAATTGTATACACACATAACTGCTGCAAAACTGAAATGGAACATACAGTAATATCAACAGAGTCTTGCCTCTCACCTCATGCAAGGTCGGTTGACCACAAGATAGTGTTAGAACACAGGTAAGAAAATGTTACATTTTGATAATGGTTAACCAACTTAAAAACTTATCCTTAGAGAATGAAAATCTTCATAGAATCACATAGGGTTTAGATATATTTGCAGACGATAGTTCTATTATTAGTTGCTAAGAAAAATTAGGGGTGCTTGGTGGTACCTCCTGAAGTCAGGAAGACTCAAGTTTCAGAGGTAGCCCCAGGCACCCATCAGCTTATTTCCTCTCTTTGCACCTTTCTACCTCTGCATATATACTTTTTTTTGGCCATACCATATGGGACAACCATCATGCCTTGCTTACCACAAAATGCCCAGTGACACCAGTGACAGGAAATTGGGTTATATGGACAATTGTTCTAACCCAATATGACATTACTATGGTCTCAAAACCTGACTTAACTGGGAATGAGAGCTTCATAGAAGTCTGGAGAGGGAAAGGGTTTTGTAGCTCGCATAGGGCAAAGGAAGTCAATCTTTCTTTGGAGGGGAGCAAGTAGAAACTCACAGCATCCACCAGATGAAAGCCACAGTGGGTATAAGCCTGCTTCAGTGTGCTTAGCACAGCTAAGAAACTGGATATTTAACTAAGACAGAAAGTACAGGGGTAATACAAGTGCAACAGAAGGGAAAGCAATCCTTAAGTTAGGACACAAGGGATAGATGCCATAATTTCAGTGACAGGAAAGAAAGAGGAGGGAAATTTGCAAGCCAAGGACAGTCATTTTCCTCCACTAAAGACAATGAAAAGGCCTAGTGGATAGTGCTGGACCTGGACTCGAAGACCTGAGTTTAAATCCAGCCTCAGACACTTACTAACTGTGGTCATTTACTTTTCTCAGCCTCAGCGTCCTCATTTATAAAATGAAGAAGTTGGACTCAAGGCCCTTTTTAGCTCTAAATCTCTGATTCTTTGTTGGGAAGCAATGAGGATCTCAGTGGGATCCTGTTCTGTTTTTTTCTGTTTGTGGGTTATAACAGCAAATCAGGGCATGACCCAGCCTTTCTAGGTCACCATGGGAGCTAATCTGTGATGGGAATTTTGCCCTAAGCTCTGCTGGGTATTTCAGTTTAGTTAGAGGGTTTAGGATGAGGTTTTCACTGATAGCAACTTAATGGACAATATTGAGGCAGAAGGGCAGGCTGGGACACAAGCAGTGTGCACCAATCACCCAGTAAGATCCTTAAGCAGGTCCCCATGAAGATAATCTTTGACCACAGGAATCTGTTTTTCTTTAAGTCCATGGTGCCAGCCTCAAATAGAGGGAACCGCTAAACCTTACTCAAGGATTCCCGTGGACTCCAAATAATTTGCATTTTTATTTTGTTAGGTATTTCCTACTTACATTTTAAAATATGGTTCCTACCTAGTCTTTCTGGACGATGTTCTGTGTGTATGATGCCTCTGCTGTAACTCATGAATGGACAACAAAGGGCCATAGATCATTGGCTTGATAGGGAACCATGACCTTAGGTTAACTATTTCATCCCAAAGTACAAGAGGGGTAAAAGTTTTGCTTCAGCTTCCCTGTTGAGGATGCCCATAAGAGGTCATCCTCTTTCTTGCTCAGGCCAAACCTGATTAATTGAGAATGTGTCATGGCAGGTAAGAAATTAGAAATGATCTTAGGATTGCATAGAGTCTGAAGCACAGGTGGTAACAGTCCTACTCTCCCAAACCATAGTCAGACCGTTTCTGGAATATTGGGTTGCCTTCTGAATGCTACCTTTTTGGAAGGACATTGACAAACTGGAACATGTCCAAAGGAAAGTGACCAAAATGCTTCGGCCATGCCATATGAGGGAATCTCTTGAAGGATATGGCAGGTATTTAGCCTGCAGAAGGGAACACTCAGGGAATATTTAGTCACTGTTTTCACTTAGTCCCAGATAGTAGGATGAGGAATTGTGGGAGGAAGTTGGAGAAAGGTAGGTTTAATATAATGTAGAGAAATTGTCTAAAACTCTAGAGCTTCCACAAGCCTTTTCATCCCGGAGGATCACTTCAGCCCTGGGACTCACACCTTGGAAGTACCTTCTGCCATTGAGGTCCCTTCCTCTGATTGGGAAGGCTCCTCCCAGAACCGCCATTTAAGGATGTCATCAAGGCCAGCCATCTCTTCATTTCCATCAGGATGCCCTCCTCTAAACTTCTCTATCATGTCCTGGGTTGGGTACCTTCTCTCCTCACTACCTTTTCAACTTCCCCTTAGATACTGTTTTCCCATTAGAATGTAAGCTCCTTGAGGGCAAGGATTGTTTCTTTTCTTGCTTATATTTGTATACCCACTGCCTGGTATATAGTAAGTGCCTAATAAGTGCTTGTTGATGACTGACTGACTGCCTTAACGTGGAATGGACTATTTTGAGAGATAGTAGTGAGGGAGATTGTCCCTTACAAACTACAAATGTAAGTGTACACAAAATTAATACACATATTACAAATTCATACACATAATCCATCCATATATATAATACATGCAAATCTATATATAAACAAATACAAATTTAATATCAGATAATTTGGAGTTATAAGTACTAGCAGCTAGAAGGACTCAGGAAGGTTCTCACAGAGCAAGTGATGCTTGAGCTGATGGGGGATGGTGGGGAGAGGGCATCAATCCTAACCTCTGAGGTTGATGTCAAGAAGAATTAGCCTCCCTTCCCATAACACTGCAGCAGAATTCTGAGTTATATGGAAAGCAGGCCTCAAGCTAGCACAGTAGAAATTTTGTTCTTTGTTCTTTTGTCCTCAACATACCCCACCAGATCGTCAGTCGTCCAATGCGTGTTAGTCCCAACTATGATATGCTAAAAAGTGTTACAAGTTAACACAGCAGTGATTTGCTAAGCTTGCATTCCCAGAACAGGAAGGAGGATACACAATTTTTCTGTTAGAATGCCACATCACAGCATATGAAACAATGAAGAATCTCAGTGGAATAGAATATATTAGCATCCGTACTCCAAGGCATTGCCTAATTTGTTGGCTTTGAGGAGCTCATGTTATTTAGAAAATATTTCAGGGAATGTAAAAATACCAGCAACCTTCACAAAAGAATACATTTGTCTACAAAAGTTTACGTTTGTTTCCTCCCTCTGCCTTTTTTTTGAGGGTGTGGGGGAGGAGGAGTAGTAAGGGAGGTAGGCGACCAATGATTTCACCTGCACAGGTAGGGAGCTCTCTCTGGTAACTCATCCATCTTATAGTCTCAGAAATTTTTCTGGGAATCACACTACCAAAAGAATATTTTGCAGAATTAGAAAAATAGTCCACATCCAGAGAAAGGACTATAGTATTTGAATGTGGATCAAAACATACTATTTGCTCTTTTTTTTATTGTTGTTTCTTTATTTTGTTTCTTTTTTCTCTCGGTTCTGCCTGTTGATTCTAATTCTTCTTTACGAAATGAATAATGTGAAAATATGTTTACTATGGCTGTATAAGTAGAGACTATATCAGATTGCATTCCATCTTGGAGAGGGGGAAGGATAGGAAGAGAAAGAAAATTTAAAACTCAACATATTATGAAAGTGAACGTCGAAAACTAAAAATAAATTTTTTAAATTTAAAAAAATAACATAAAAATTAAAAAGATTTACTGCACCTGTCCAAAAAAGAAAAAGGAAAATAACAAAATTCATTTGGAGGAATGAAAGAACTAGAATTGCTAAGAAGTAATCAAGAAAGGTAGGAGTGAAGAAGGAATAGCACTTCCAGACCTCAAACTACAGTATAAAGTAGTGATCAACAAGAGCCTTTGCCACTGGTTATAAAACATAGAAGTAGATCGATGGTTGACCGGTTATTGTCCTGTGCTCTTGCAGAGGACCAAAGTGAAAGTGACTATGTTAGAGTCAAGTTACAGGGTGTCCAACTGTGGCTGACCAGACCAATAGAAGCTTGGAAGATTCCGCCACAGGTTGGGCACAAATAGTCCGAATGAACACGTGGAGTGGAGATGTCTCTAAATTTGTGCATCTCAAGTTTCTTTTGAGCTTCTTCAATTCTGCTTCACTCATAGAGCACAGCATCTTCTTGCATGTGAGCACACCATGCTGGGTGGTCCTTTGCCAGCATTTCCCATGTCATGCAATCAATTCCAAAGTTCTTCAGAGACAACTAGACAAGGAAGAATGGGCAGGTGGGTGTGTGAGGGAAATCTGAACTCAGTAACCTAGTATTTGATACATCCTCAAAATATAAATTACTCAGGAAAGAACTCCCTATTTGATAAGAACTGCTGAAGAAACTGGGAAACAACATGGCAGAAATTAGGTTTTGATCAAATGCTTACAACCAAATCCCACAATTAATTCAAAATGGATAAGCCACTTGAATATTAAGGATCACAACAAAAAATTAGAAGAAAAGCAGATTATATGCTTCTTACAACTATAAGTAGAAGACGATTCCTCACCAAACAAGGTAGAGAGGCAATTGCAAAAGATAAAAGCCTGTGATATGAAATTGAAAAGCTTTTGCACAAATAAAAGTTATGCATAAAGGATAAAAAAAAAAGAGAAGCAATCAGTTGGGGGAAAATTTGTATCAAATACCTGATAAGGGTTTGATAGCCAAGATAGCTCAATAACTAACAGCAACCTACAAGACTGAAAGTAATTTCCCAATGGCAAAGTATCCAAAGGAGACAAAATGCTCTCAGAAGAATTGCAGACTATGAACAACCATGAGAAAGAATGCTCCAGATGAAAAATAACAAGCTAGATGCATGTCAAAACAATGCTTTTACCTCGTACCCAGCAAATTGGCAAAGATGACAAAAATAGGCAATAGTCAATGTTGGAGGAATTATGGGAAAATGGACATTATTGCTTGAACTGCTAGTATCCTACTTCCATCACCTTTTATCTATTTTGGATGTTCAGGCATATCTTGTTTTATTGCGCTTTATTGAATTTGAAGACGTTGTGATTTTTACAGATTGAAGGCTTGCGGCAACTCTGCCTTGAGCAAGTCTATCAGTACCAGTTTTCCAACAGCATATGTTCACATCTTGTCTGTCACACTTTGGCGAGTCTCACAATATTTCAAACTTGTTCATTAATTTTGCGTCTGTTATTATGGTGATCTGTGATGAGCAATCTTTAATGTTACTATTGTAATTGTTTTCGAGCACCAAGAACCACACCCATATAAGACTTTAGACTTAATCAATAAATGTAGTGTGTTCTGACTGCTCCACCACCCTGTCATTCCCTTTCTCTCCATCTTTCTCCTTCTCGGTGGGCCTCCCTATTCCCTGAGACACAGCAGGCCAACTAATGACTCTATAATGGCCTCTAAGTGTTCAAGTGAAAGGAAGAGTCAATCGATGTGACAAACTTCATTGTTGTCTAATTTTAAGAAATTGCCACAGCCATCCCAGCCTTCAGCAACCACCACCCTGATCAGTCAGCAGCCATCAACATCGAGGCAAGACCCTCCACCAGCAAAAAGATTATGACTTCCAGTGATGGCTCAGATGATGGTTAGCAATTTTTAACAATAAAGTATTTTTTAATTAAGGTATATGCATAGTTGTTTTTTTTTTAATTAAGAAAATTTTTTTGTCCATATGCTTTTGAGTTTAAAATTTTTCTCCCTTCCCCTCCCACCCTCCCCAAGACGGCGCGCAATCTGACATAGGCTTTACATTTAAATACCCATTAAACATATTTTCACATTAGTGAAGTTGTAAGTAAAAATTAAAACCAATAGGAGGAACCATCAAAAAGAGGAAACAAAACTCAACAGAAAGTAAAAATAAGTGATAGCGATTCGACTTCCATAGTTCTTTCTTTGGATGTGGACAGCACTTTCCATCCCGAGGCCTCTAGAGATGTCTTAGATCCTTGTAATGCTGAGAAGGGTTCAGTTTAACAATATTACTCATCGCATAATGTGGCTGTTATTGTGTACAAAGTCCTCTTGGTTCTGCTCACTTCACTCAGCATCACACCATATAGGTCTTTTCAGGTTTTTCTGAAGTCAGCCTGTTCATCATTTCTTATAGCACAATAGTATTCCATTACATTCATATACCAACTTGCTCAGCCATTCCCCAATTGATGGGCATCCTCTCAATTTCCAATTCTTTGCCACCACAAAAAGAGCTGCTATGAATATTTTTGTACATGTGGGTCCTTTTCCCATTTGTTTGATCTCTTTGGGATATAGCCCTAGAAGTGCTATTGCTGGATCAAAGGGTATGCACATTTTTGTAGCCCTTTGGGCATAGTTCCAAATTGTTCTCCAAAATGGTTGGATCATTTCACAACTCCACCAACAATGTATTAGTGTTCCAATTTTCCCACATCCTCTCTCCAACATTTATCATTTTCCTGTTTTGTCATGTTGGCCCAATCTGATAGGTGTGATGTGGTACCTCAGAGTTGTTTTGATTTGCATTTCTCTAATCAATAACGATTTAGAGCATTTTTTCATATGACCATAGATGGCTTTAATTTCTTCATCTGAGAACTGTCTGTTCATATCCTTTGACCATTTATCAGTTGGGGAATGGCTTGTATTCTTATAAATTTGTCTTAATTCTCTATATATTTTAGAAATGAGGCCTTTATCAGAGAGACTGGTTGTAAAAATTCTTTCCCAATTTTCTACCTTCCTTCTAATCTTAGTTGCATTGGCTTTGTTTGTGCAAAAACTTTTCAATTTAATGTAATCAAAATATCCATTTTGCTTTTCATAATGTTCTCTATCTCCTGTTTGGTCATGAATTCTTCTGTTCTCCATAGATCTGATAGGTAAACTATTCCTTGTTCTCCCAGTTTACTTATGGTATCAGCCTTTATATCTAAGTCTGAACCCATTTTGACTTTATTTTGGTATATGGTGTGAGATTTGGGTCTATGCCTAGTTTCTGCCATACTCTTTTCCAGTTTTCCCAGCAGTTTTTTTCAAAGAGTGGGTTCTTATCCCAGAAGCTGGGGTCTTTGGGTTTATCAAATAATAGATTACTATAGTCATTGACTACTGTGTCTTGCATATTTAACCTATTCCACTGATCCACCTCCCTATTTCTTAGCCAGTACCAAGCAGTTTTGATGATTGCTGCTTTATAATACAATTTAAGATCTGGAATTGCTAGGCCACCTTCCCCTGCATTTCTTTTCATTAGTTCCTTTGATATTCTGGACCTTTTGTTTTTCCAAATGAATCTTGTTATTTTTTTTCTAACTCTATAAAATTTTTTTGGTAGTTTGATTGGTATGGCACTGAATAAGTAAATTAGCTTAGGTAGGATTGTCATTTTTATTATATTAGCTTGGCCTACCCATGAGCAACTGATGTTTTTCCAATTATTTAGATCTGATTTTATTTGTGTGAAAAGTGTTTTGTAATTGTGTTCATAGAGTTCCTGGGTTTGTTTTGGGAGGTAGACTCCTAAATATTTTATAATGTCTACAGTAAGTTTAAATGGGATTTCTCTTTCTATCTCTTGCTGTTGGGCTTTGTTGGTAATATATAGAAATGCTGATGATTTATGTGGGTTTATTTTATAGCCTGCAACTTTGCTAAAGTTGTTTATTATTTCAAGTAGTTTTTTACTTGATTCTCTAGGATTCTCTAAGTATATCATCATGTCATCTGCAAAGAGTGATAGCTTTGTTTCTTCTTTGCCTATTCTAATGCCTTCAATTTCTTTTTCTTCTCTTATTGCTAAAGCTAACATTTCCAGTACAGTATTGAATAACAGGGGTGATAGTAGACATCCTTGTTTCACCCCTGATCTTATTGGAAATGCTTCTAGCCTGTCCCATTACATATAACGCTTGCTGAAGGTTTTAGATAGATGCTATTTATTATTTTAAGGAAGACTCCACTTATACCTATGCTTTCTAGTGTTTTTAATAGGAATGGGTGTTGTATTTTATCAAAAGCTTTTTCTGCATCTATTGGGATGATCATGTGGTTTCTGTTGGTTTTGGTGTTGATATGCTCAATGATGCTGATAGTTTTCCTAATACTGAACCCACCCTGCATTCCTGGTATAAATCCTACCTGGTCATAGTGTATTATTCTTGTGATAAGTTGCTGCAATCTACTTGCTAGTATTTTGTTTAAAATTTTTGCATCTATATTCATTAGAGAAATCGGTCTATAATTTTCTTTCTCTGTTTTGACTCTTCCTGGTTTAGGTATCAGCACCGTATTTGTATCATAAGAAGAATTTGGTAAGACTCCTTCTTCACCTCTTTTCCCAAATAGTCTGTATAGTGTTGGAATTCATTGTTCTTTAAATGTTTGATAGAATTCGCGTGTAAGTCCATCTGGCCCTGGAGCTTTTTTCCTAGGGAGCTCATCAATGGCTTGGTCGCTTTCTTTTTTGGAGATGGGGCTATTGAAGAATTTTCCTTCCTCTCCCGTTAATCTGGGCAATTTACATAATTGTTTTAGACATAATATTAGTTCACACTTGATGGACTACCAGTGTAGCATAAACAAAACTTTTGTATACATTGGGAAACCAAAAACTTTGCGTGACTGTTTGCTTTATTACCATGGCCTGGAACGGAACCCTCAATATCTCTGAGATATGCCCGTATGGTACTATATACATACATGTTTTCTACCCTGATAGAATAGAAGCATCTTGAAGGCAGGGGTTCTCACTTCCTTTTTTGTATCCTCAGCACCTAGCAGAGTGCCTAAAACATAGCACGTGCTGAAAAAAGGTTTGTTAATGGATTGCTTCATCATTTTCATAAAGGTTTATAAAGATGAAAAGGCAAAGCTTGGTCATCATTACTGAAATGAGAAATATCAGCCAGTTCCTAGGTACTTAGCAAGTTGGCAGGAGAATGTAACAAATTGGGTTTACAGTCAGATTTAGCTGAATTAGACCCCGGAAGGTAGGTCCCAGCAGATGCCAGGCACGAGTCAGGGTGGTCACATGTTGGCCACTGATGAGGAGGCCTGATCCCCAGGGATCCCTCTCTTAAAAGGGACAAATACTATAACTGACAGTTTGAGTTATTTGTGAAATACCAACCAGAGGTCCCTGGGAAACAAAGGCTCATTTTGTCTGACTTCCCCACCCCCTCCCCCACTTCCCTCAGTGTGGCTGTTGAGGCCAAGAGAAAGAATGGGTCATGCTAGAGTGACACCCTCAAAGAGACATCTATCCTGATTCCTGTGTGCTCCCAAACCAACTGTCTTTTAAAATTCATGTTTTATGGATGGTTTTTATTCACATCAACGTTACTGCCCAATGACTATCCTCTACACTGGATCTTGTAACATTGTAATGATGGGTGTTTTTGCCCCAACTAAGATGAATGCTTCTTACCAGTCACCATTGATTTAGCAAATGATATATGTGTACATATATGCATACATATGCCCACATACACATACACACACATTCTATAGTCCTTGGGCTAGGTATCCTGAGGGGGGACTGGTTCAGGATGACATTAGTATAAGGCTGAACTCATATACACTAAATTATTTAAATAAACATTTACAAATATATTTAAGGAAAACAAACGAACACCTATGTGGGACAGCGTATGTCTCATTGCACACTGATGATCCATCACCTCTCTGCATTGAGGGGGAGTTATGTGTCACAGGTAGTCCTTTGGAGTCCTCACTGTTGGTCATTTCACCAAGTATAGCCAATCATTGAGCCTACATGAGGGGGCAAAAAGGGGCAACAGAGGGTACCCATCTAAGACCCAACTCCCTCTTTGAAGATTTATTACAAGTGAGCAGAACCAAGAGGACTTTGTACACAATAACAGCTACATTATGTGATGAGTAATATTGTTAAACTGAACCCTTCTCAGCATTACAAGGATCTAAGTCATCTCCAGAGGCCTCGGGATGGAAAATGCTGTCCACATCCAAAGAAAGAACTATGGAAGTCAAATCGCTCTCACTTATTTTTACCTTCTGTTGAGTTTTGTTTCATCTTTCTGATGGTTCCTCCTATTGGTTTTAATTTTTACTTACAACTTCACTAATGTGAAAATATGTTTAATAGGAATGTAAATGTAAAGCCTATATCAGATTGTGTGCTGTCTTGGGGAGGGTGGGTGGGAGGAAGGGGGAGAAAAATTTTCAACTCGAAAGCATATGGAAGTGATTGTTGATAAATCAAAATAAATTAATAAAATTAAAAAAAAATATTTATTACCTAACTGGGTGCAGAAGACATTGTGACCATCATTTTCTAGAACCATAGTGATTACTAACGTGGCACGTATGGCAAAATAATGAGTAGGAATCCATATTAGGGATTAGTGGGCTTTCTATAAATAATAACCTGTTAGCAAAGACTGAACTGTGGGGATGCTTTTGCCCCATATAAGATGAAGGCTTCTAAGCAATCACCCTTGATCTAACAAATGACCCATCCTTCTCCCCATAATTCTTGAGCTGTCCTCACTTGTGATTAAAAAAAAAGTTGCCAATTTTGGTTCAAGGTGATTAATGTAAAGGTGCTATTATTAGCATGCAAAAGAACGTTGTAAGCTCTTTGAGGGCAGGGATGCTTTTTGATTCTGTCTTTGTGTCCCCAGAGCCTTGCACAGTGTGGTAGGTAATAAATGCTCAGATTGTTAAGAAGTAATTCCTAATTTAAAAAATAGTTCCCCCTGATTTAATTCTTATTAAATACATGTTTCCTGTATTAGGTTCAGGGGTATTTTCTGGCAAAGATTTGCCAGTTTCATAGTATGATGCCTTTTGTGGAATAAAGACAATCTTGACCAAAGATGTTTTCAAATTGAGAAATGGCACCTAGAATCCCATAGGGGTTACTGATGTAGGGGCTAGATAGTTAGACGTGGAGTCATGAAGACATGGGTTCAAATCTAATCTCTGATACTGAGTATGCAATCATGGGCAAGTCACTAACCTCTCTGAGCTTGTTTCTTTATCTGTAATTTGAGGAGGCTCACAGTTAGGACCTTTGATGGACCCTAAGGTCCCTTTCAGCTCTAGATGTGACCTCCTATGGGTCACTTAACCTCTCAAGGCCTCAGTTTTCCTATCTGTAAAAATGAGGGAGTGGCAATGCATCATCTCTTACCAGGGTGGGGAACCTGTGGCCTCGAAGCCACATGTAGCCTTCTAGGTCCTTAGGTGCAGCCGTTTGACTGAGTCCAACTTTTACAGAACAAACCCTTTTATTAAGGGTATTTGTTCTATGAAATTTGGATTCAGTCACAGGGTTGCACTTGAGGACCTAAAGGACCTAGACCCTTTCCAACTTAATATCTATAAACCTGTGTTTGAGTAGTTGTCAGTGAGGATTTCAGTTTCAGTTGTGTGTTTTTAAAATCCCAGGTCTGACAGGATCAAAAGACTAAAGTCATTGTCTAAGATGTCATAATCCAGCACTCAGTTGCTAAGTTGCTAAAGGTTTTGGGTTAGTCCCAGTGCAGCCACTGAGGGTGGAGGTGGACTGATGAAAACTTGGCCACTAGTAGATCTAGCAGCATGGCTAAAAAACTGACCAAAGAGAAGGTGGATGATACAAACTTGACCGCTAGTAGATCTAGCAGCAGGGCTAAAAACGTGACCAAAGACAAGAAGGTGGCTAATAAAAATCTGGCCTCTAGTGAATCAAGCAACCCTATTAAGAAACTGACCAAAGAGCAGATTGCAGAATTCAGAGAAGCTTTTTCACTATTTGACAAGGATGGAGATGGTTATATAACAACAAAGGAACTGGGAACTATAATGAGGTCACTTGGGCAAACCCCCACAGAAGCTGAATTACAGGAAATAATGAATGAAGTTGATGCTAGTGGTAGTGGCACAATTGACTTTTCAGAATTTCTGAATATGATGGAAAGAAAAATGAAAGACACAGACAGTAAAGAAGACATTCAAGATGCATTCCGTGTGTTTGACAAGAATCGTGATGGTTTTATCAGTGCAGGAGAACTTCGCCACGTGATGACAAACTTTGGAGAGAAGCTAACAGATGAAGAGGTTGAAGAAATGATCAAGGAAGCCGATATAGACGGTGATGGCCAAGTAAACTACGTACAATTTGTTGAAATGATGACAGAAAAGTGAAGACATTGTACAAGACCTGTCTTGTGCAACTTTGTTTGTCTTTTTTTTGTTGGTAACTTCTCTGTAAAAGATTCCATCCCACCTCCCCCAATGCATGTGTAGGAATTAGAACTTCATTCCTCCATGTTTTTCTTTCCTTCTCTGTTATTGTCCAGAAACTTTATTTTGGAAAATTGGTCAAGTAACATGTTACACGCGGCTTACTCTGGATATATCAAAGCCCTTCTGCACTCTAAACTTATATGGAGTAAATGCTATATGGTGACATCCTTCTGTTTACCTTCTCATTTAGGAAAAGTTTCAGGATGAAGACTTACTAGTGTCATTGTTACTGATCTATGTAGATGGGAGACACACGAATGGGGATTTAGAAGCTACAGCTGTGAGTATAGAAATATAGACATGTATGCCCCAACACCAAGGTTACCCCTAAGACCTTGAGATTCTTCCCAGGATGAATAATAGATTAGGGCCAGGGGTGGGGAACCTACAGCCTGGAGGTTCTTGGGTGGCCCTCTGGGTCCTTGGGTGTGGCCTTTTGACTGAGTCCAAGTTTTACAGAACAAATCCTTTTATTAAGGATATTTGTTCTGTGAAGTTTGGATTCAATCAAAGGGCCGCACTTGAGGAACTAGAGGGCGACATGTAGCCTCCAGGCTGCATGTTCCCCACTCCTGGTAGGCTATCAGCGTCACCTTAGATGAGTTTTTGTGGTAAAGTAGGAGCCAGTTAGGTGGTAGCATAGAGGATAGAGGGCCAGCCTTGGAGTCAGGAAGACCTGAGTTCAAATCCTGTCTCAGACACTTCTTCAGCTATGTGGACTCTAGGCAGGTCAATTATCCTCCCCAGCTATAGTTTCCTTCTCTATAGAATGGGGATAATAATAGCACCTATCCCTCATAGGGTCTGGTAAGGATCAAATGAGGTAACATGTGTAAAAGCACTTTGAGAAACTCAGTGTGTTATATAAATGCTAGCTATTGTGATGATGATTATTATGTTGATACAGACTAGAGTAGAGAAGATGTGGTAGGGAGGCTCCGTATCACTGGAAGTATTCAAGCAGAGGTTTAATCACTCATCAAACATTTATGAAAGTAAGTCATGGATATAGAAAAATAAAAGTGAAACAGTCCCTGCC